GCCTATAACACAATGTTCTTTAAGGCTCAATGATATTTCATTGTATATGTACCACATTTTCTTTATCCATTCATCTGTCAATGGGCACTTTTAATATGTTCTTTTTAAATTTATTTTAGCTGTCAGGCTGGGAGCGGCCAGGCCTGGAGCAGCGGCTGCCAGGCTGGGAGCAGCCAGGCCTGGAGCAGCCGGGTCTGGTGTGGCCAGGCCTGGAGCAGCAGCTGCCAGGCTGGGAGCGGCCAGGCCCGGAGCAGCCGGGCCCAAAGCAGCCAGGTCGGGTACGGCCAGGCCCGGAGCAGCAGCAGCCAGGTCCAGAGCAACTAGGTCGGGAGCGGCGGTGACCAGACCCGGAGCAGCTGGTTTTGGAACGAACCAGAGCAACAGAGGCCAGGCCCGGAGCAGCCAGGCCCGGAACAGCTCGCTCCTCGCCTGCCCCTGCCCCACGGCTGCCTCTCAGACATGGCTGGAAACTTTTGTGGGAACTTGAGGGTCTGCTGAATCAAGTGATGAAGGCTTAGATCTGGATGTGTTGAGTTAGTATAGGGCTGGGGTGTTGATCTGTGAGTGCCTTGGGTGGGGCCTGGATGAGGCTGGTTGACCTATTTGGAAATGTCTTTTGTGTGAAATGTATCATTGGGCATGTGGTGGTATTATTGATATGAGAAAATGCTAAGTAACTGATTTACTATCTGAAAAGGGATTTACTATCGGGAAAAGGGAGGGAGGAAGAGACTGAACATAAACTGCACCTATAAATGAGGACAATGGGGGATGGGGAGGGGGCGGAGGGTGGGGTGGGAACCTGGTGGAGGGGGGAAGAAATGAGGAACCTTTGTAACAATATGAACAATAAAGATTGATTTAAAAAAATAAAATAAAATAAATTTATTTTAGACAGGATGAGAAGGAGAAACATTGATGTGAGAGGGAAACACTGACCGGCTGCTTCCTGCATGCCCCCTATTGGAGACTGAGCCTGAAACCAGGGCCCGTACCCTGGCAGGGAATCAAACGGGAAACCTTCGGTGCATGGGACAATGCTTAACCAACTAAGCCACACTGGTCAGGGCTCAAAGCTTTTTTCTGAGTCTTTCATTTCTTAAAAAATGACCAGCCCAGCCACGGTGGCTCATTGATTGAGTGTTGACCTATGAACCAGGAGGTCATTGTTCGGTTCGGGGTCAGGGCACATGCCCGGATTGTGGGCTCAATCCCGTGTGGGGTGTGCAGAGGCAGCTGATCAATGTTTCCCTCTCATCATTGGCGTTTCTATCTCTCCCCTCTCCTTCCTCCATGAAATCAATTAAAAATATATTTATATATAAAGACCAGCTTAGAAGAATCAATCTTCTGAAGAGGTGAATTTTGGAGTGTAACTCTGCTCTCCTCAGCATGAGGAGCCGGTGACGGTGACTTTTGCGTGCTGTGTCCTGTGTTCACACTGTCCCCGCTCCTCACTAACTAGAGGAAGTTTATGTTGGTAAGGATTCTAGCTCCTACTCACACGGCTGTGTTTTCCCAAGTGTTTTGTTTGTATCTTCTATTGTCTCTGTGGCTCCCTGGCAACTAGAAATCATCAACATATGCATGTCCTCCTTTTCCATTTTCACAGCTCTGCTGTGCAAATGTGCTCTGCCAATATTCTTTCCAAAAGTTTGCCTACCATTTTTAGGAGGTTCATCTCCAAAGTATATTTTTTAATCTGGGGTCTTAAATTCTTCCAAGTGAGGTAACTCTACGACAGACAGGCTTGACAGCAACTGTCTTGAATCCGGGCTCCAGGCAGTTTCTAGTCAGTGGGCAAAGGGGACATGCCGGGAGCCAGTTCCAGCATGTCAGCAGGGCTGAATCATCTGAAGATGGCTGAGGGCCTTTCCCCAAACCTGAAAGGGATGCATTAAATGATTGCTCGCTGCCAGACAGCTGAGGGCATCTTAACCTCATGTTATTGCCTCTGCTGGCCAAACACCTGAACAGCTGGAGGTCAGTCATTCTTCCAATCTGAGAATGGATTTGTGTACTAAACCTTGGCCTTTGATGTGTATATCTACCTTGCCTTAGGACAGTTTGTGTTAATAAAAAGCAAGGGGTCCTGAGAGAAAGAGAACTTGGTTTCTTCAGCCAAGCTCCTCTGGTCCCCCCAAATGCCTTCCAAAATTATGTTTCATCTCTGGACTCTTGATTTATTTACGCACAGCACTTCTCCAAATCCCTGAACCCTTCTAGATGCTGAATCAAGGCCACCAGCAGGGACAGTTGAACCCTCCCATCCTCCCTCTCATATTTGTAGGAGAGGAAAGGCTGTGTTTTATTTTATTTAAAATGCTTTTATTGAAATTTTTTGAGAGAGAGGAAGGGAGAGGGAGAAACAATCTTCAGCTGCCTCCTACATACCCCTCACAGGGGATGGAGCCTGCAACCCAGGCATGTGCTCTGACTCAGAATTGAATTGGTGACTTCTTGGTGTATGGGTTAATGATCAACCAACTGAGGCACACCACCCAGGGCGAGCAAGGTCTTATTTTAAAACTTTAACCCTCTTAAGATCCACTCAAGCACTAGTCGACTTACTATTGACAGCTGTGTTATCTTATTTAGATGAGTTTAATTAAAACCATTCTTGTAGCCAAATTGGCTAATCAGTGCAAAGTTCTCCAGTTAATGATTCATTTTTAGCAATGTTATTATGAACATTTAAAAACCAAGACTATTCCCATACTGTTATGTACAGAGCCCCACCCGCACCATCCTAGATTCAGTAATTATTAACACACTGACAACCTCGTTTCATAAATACCTCTCTCCACCCTCTTCTCCCTTCATCCCACAGGTAAGTTTTATAATTGAACACACCTTACTTTCTCCACAGATATCCAATATATGCCTCTAAAAGAGGACTATTCTTTTTTTTTTAATATATATTTTATTGATTTTTTTTGCCTCCCTCTTCCCTTCCCATACAGACCCTCCCTCCCAAGAGTTTTATGTCCATTGATTGTACTTATATGCATGTATACAAGTACGAGAAGGACTATTCTTATAAACACTGTGATCACACCCAAAATTAACTACTTCTCTGTATTGATTATTTGGTCAGTGCTTCAATTTCCTTGATTGTCTTAACAATTTCCGGGTTGTTTTGCTCAAACCAGGACTTAATCCAAGTTCCTATGATCACATTGCCCTTGACATGTCTCTGAAGTCTCTTGAACCTATGGCTGTCCTGTTACACAGTCTCCCCCCAACCCCCACCCCATCCCCCCCTTAAAAAAAGGAAACATAATTTGTCCTATGGGATGTCCCACAATTGAAGGTTAGTTGATTGCTGCCCTTGGTATCTGTTGGCTTCCTTTCTTTTTCTGTAAATGAGCAGTTCTACACCCATAGGCTTGGTTACTCATGTGTATGGATATTTCACCGTGGCTGGCGCCCAGGGGAGCACCGCTTGTCTTCCCTGGTGTGAGCCACTTGTGCGCCCAGTGCTCGTCCTCAGAGAATCCCCACAATTAGCCCATTTTTTTTCTTTTTTAAGTCATTTTTAATTTTTCAATGATGGTTGACAGGACAAATTATATTACTTTCAGGTGTATATGTCCTAGTGATTAGGCATTATACAACTTACCAACTGATCATCCCAAGTAATCTCAGACCCATCGGACACCACACTTAGTTATTACAATACTAGAGGCCCAGGGTATAAAATTAGTGCACTTGGGGGGAGGGGGTCCCTCAACCCCACCTGCACCATCTTGTAGTCCATGACCCCTCAGGGGATGTCCGACGGCTGGCTTAGGCCCACTTCCTGCCACTGCTGCTGCCCGGCTTCTGGCTGAGTGGTGCTCCCCCTGTGGGAGCACACTGACCACCAGGGGGCAGCTTCTGCATTGAGCATCTTCCTCTTGGTGGTGAGTGTGTGTCATAGCAACTGGTCATTCCACTGCTTGGTCAATTTTCATATTGGCCTTTTATTATATAGAATTATTGGCTCTCTTCTGGGTATAAGTCCAGCTTAGGAAACATAGTCAATGCATTACAGGTCACCTATGCACTGAAAGGTCACCAAATCCTTCAAAATCCCTTCACTTTTTTCACCCATCCCAACCTCCCTCTCATCAGGCAACCATCAAAACGTTGAGCCCATGTTTTTGCCGTTTTACAAGAAAGTCTCCAAAAAGCTAAGAACAGGCCAGAATCCAGGATACGGAGGCACAGCAGGTGAGAGTGCCAGTCCAAAGAAAAAGAATGTAGTTAGGAGCCATAGTTAGGAAGGGCTGTTAAACATCTGATCGCCTAACGAAGGGCTGTCACCTGAAGGCAGACCTCTGGTTGAGTGCAGGTGGTATTTTGGGAGTGGCAGGCTTCCAGTCAGATGGACAAAGTGGGATTAACTACTTACCCACCTGGGATGTGAACGGCAGGCCCCTGGTGGGTGTTTTGGCACTGCCTGTGTGGTTTCAGGAACTGGTGTAGGTTGCAGGTGGGGAGGGGACGCCTGTATTCTGGAACCACTGAGGTTTTGAGGGAAGTGTGTTCTGAAGGAAACCAGAGCCCAGCATGGCTATTGCCTTTCTGCATCGACAACACCGTATCGTTGGAATGTGAAAGTAATGTCCTTTTTTCTGGATAGGCACCGCTCTGCCGAGACCACGGTTCCCTCATGTTAGGGCGTTAACTGCCGACTGAGCTACCCTGCACCCACCTAATATTATATGTTATTAATATATAATAATTCTATATATTAAAGAAGTACGCGTCTATCATTTTACTTTTTATCCAGTCCCAGAGGTTTCCCCGCGTTGCTTTCCCCACCTCCCTAACCTATTGCTAGCGGATTTAGTGTAACCCACTCATGTCTCCTCTTTTGAATATAATGTGTCAAAAACTGCCATTCTCTGGAGCATTATCCCAATCCCTTGAGATTCTGCCTCCTGGCATTTGTCGACAATTTGGCTCAAATAAACTCACAAAAATTCTTCCCAGGTTTGATTGCTACTCACATGAACAATCTATCTTATTCGGATAAAAATGATGTGACAGTGTGCACGTCCTTTGGTCAATGCAGGACAGATAGCACAATTCGGCCCTCAGAGGGGGTTGGGCGGAGCTCACCACTGTTCAACCTTTTTCTCCATAACGAACTGTCCGTGAGGGCCCTCAGCATCGGGGGGCAAGAGGGCCAGGAACACGGGGGTCTCCGCGCCCTCCTCCGGGCTTTTGGTGGCTTTAGGCCCGGCCATGTCGGTTCTCACCCACCCCGGGCAGCAGGCGTTCAGGAGGATCCTGTCCCCTCCCCTGTGCGCACTCAGGTTCCTGGCGTGGATCCGGGACAGGACCGTGACGCCGATTTTGGTGACGCCATACGCAGTGTTGGGCCAGCCCTCCTTCTGGTGCACCCCGTTCCGAGTGTCTTCCACGAACTTGTTCATGAGCCCCACCAGCTCCTCCTCGCTGATGGTGTCGCTTCTGAACTTCTGCTGCAGCTCAGGGCTGCAGTTCTTCAGAGCTCGGAGACTCACCATGCTCGACACGTTCACCACTCTGCCTGCAATGCAACGGAAGGAAGACGTTATGGAGAAAGGCAGGCAGGAGAATACGGGTGCCAGACCTGCCAGGATTCAGGACCAGGAAGTTCCCATCTGAGAAATTCAGAGTGCCAAGAGCACTGAGGAAGACTGCCCCCTCATGGAGGACGGAGACAGGAGAAGCCTGTCATACCCAGTATGTCTCAGATGACATCAGATAAATGTTTCAATGGCGAGGGCGGTGCCCAGAAGTCCCATGAGAACATGAGGAGGGTTCTGCAGGAACATGCTAAGGGGATACAGGGGGTGCTCACTGCATTCAGTAGGCAGCCTCTTTTCCCCAAGGCTGTCTCCGGGAATGCGTGGATCTTACCGTCACTGTGCAGGGCTCCATGCACAGTGTCTACTGACCGACACAAGGCAGTTCTGAGTGAACGGACAGCACCCTTTTGGAAGGCTGCTGCTCTGATCACGGCAGATAAGAACAAATTAGTTTGCCCTACCCAATGGTCAGCAAACCATGGCTCATGAGCTACATGCAGCTCTTTGGTCCCTTGAGTGTGGCTCTTCCACAAAACTTCACGTGTGGGCGCGCATATACAGTGCGATTGAAACTTTGTGGCCCATGCGCAGAAGTTGGTTTTCGGCCTAGGCAAGTCTATTTTGAAGAATTGGTGTTAGAAGAAGTGGGGGTGTTGGTCGCATGTGGCTCTTGGTTTGCCGACCACTGCCCTAGGCCTAGCCGATTTGATTTGGCTTCCTGGATAGAGCATCAGCTTGCAGACTGAAGGGTCCCAGGTTTGATTCCAGTCAAGGGCATGGTCAAGGGTATGTACCTCGGTTGTTGGCTCCTACCCGGCCAAGGCCCCGTCAGGGTGTGTGCAGGAGGCAACCAATCGATGTGTCTCTCTCACATTGACATTCCTCTCTCTTTCCCTCTCTCCTCCAATCTCTCTAAAAACCAATGGAAAAATAATCTTCGGTGAGGATAGAAAAACAAACAAACAACAAACCCCCCCTCACACATTAGTCAGCGGGCTATTTACCAGCCAGTGTTACAAGCTGACCAAAACCCCGATGGGAGACCAGCCTGTGGGTCTGGGCTGCGGAGGAGCAGTGGATGGAGCGGAGGCGGGATCATTGCGGACATGTGACTCCTGCACCCTCTGAGCCATAACATGCCGAGGGCCGTTCTACCTGGCAGCGGGGGAGCCAGAGCCTGCGGTGCTCATGGGAGAGGCTGCGCGAGGGGAAGGCCTGCACGAAGCTGGCAAGTCGGGCTGAAGGAGTGGCCGGAGGACACGAGCGGTCCCTCCTGCACCAGAAGACACAGCACCGATTTGGACGGACAAGCAGCACAGGCGGAGCAGCCGCTGGCCTGGGACTGGGGCCCTGCCCGCCATGAACGGCAGGGGCTGCAGGAGGCATGTGTCAGGCTAGCGGCCACAGGCTGTCATGAGCAGCCTGTGCCGAACTTCACGTCCCTCTGGAAAGTGAAAACGTTGGGTAAAACTCAGGTAACTGGGGAGAAGAAGGAATGGTGGCAGAGGGCGAAGGAACGAATAAAAGGGGCCCGACAAAGAGAAGGCCAAGATGACACCAGTGCCTCCACACACGGTCTGTCTCTGCTCAATGGCGCTCGGAGGGGCGGAGCCAGGCGTTGCCATGACCACCCTGCTCTGGTGGAAGGGGCGCTGGCTCAGCTGAGCGGCCTGGCTCCGGAGGCAGGTTCCTATGACGCGGTGGTGAGCTGAGTGGGACCCTGGGAATGTGCCCGCCCCCTTGGTTCTTACTCGTCAGGTTCCATGTACAGCTGCGCTGTGACACGGAGTGACACTGGCCTGCGGGCATCTGCAGTGGCCATGTGTAAACGAGCTACTTGACACTGCGATCAGTGACCACAGGTGGTGGGAGTCTGAGTTAGTCTCCTCGGGATGGCAGATGGATGGAAAGGGACTAGTCTGATGAGGAGCCTCCAGCGAATGTCTGTGCCGAGAAACTAAGGAAACAAGGAAGCCATGGTACTGGCGGCTCTCATACCACGGAGGCCAACGCAGGCAACCCAAAACCTAAGCCTGTAAATGCCTCCCAGTTACAAAACCGGGACCGAAGAACCACCAATCAGAAACAGACACCTAGGCTTAAAGCTATAGCCTACCGCTAATTCCCTTATTATGTTTCTGCCTTTTCTCTGTAATAATCTCTCCCCAACACCTGTGGACAGAGCATTCCTAAGCACTTCCGGTTTGCTGTTTCCCAATTCAAATAGATTTTTTTCTCAAAGAAACTCTTAATTTCTTGATATGCTTCGGTTTATCGCTTAAGGAAACGAAATAGTTCTGCAAACGTAGTTGTATGCTGGGTAAGTGTAACTGGCCAAGGCTTGGCCCTTTGCCCAGAGCTGCAGGGTAATCTTTAAACCGGACTGTCCTGCCTGATAAGACTGTCCTTGTTTACTTGGGGGTTTAGGTTCGGCTCCACAGTGGATGTTTGCAATGTGGCTGTGGTGAGCTGCCTGGTATTAGGCTACGACCTCTGGGGAGGGCGCTGGAGAGGAAGGTCAGCGGAGAGAGCAGGGGCCATGTCTGCGAGGCCAGCCCTCAGCAGACACACCTGAACCAGGCGGGGAGCGTCCCTGGACGGCGGTGCCCGTGTTCCTGTCACACACGGTTGCTGTCTGCAGGGCTCCAGGCGACAACAGGGAGCTCCCTGCCCCGGCTTCCCTGGCCCCTGAGGGCTCCCCACGGGGACTGGCATCCCGCTCCCTCTCCTCTCAGACTGTGCACTGAGCTCTGAGGGCAGTGGCTCCCCTGAGCTCTGAGTCCTTGCAGGGATTGGTGAACCTGAGGGTGGTCTTGGGGAATCTGAGCTTGTTAAAGCCAAGCGATGTTCCCTCAGATGTGTGCTGGTGGTGTAGCATCTCGGAACCAGTGAGTGCACCTCACTGTATCGGTGGAGTACAGGAAAGGCCGTGAGGTCAGATGCAGAAGAGTTCAGGGGCCTAATGAAGTGGGGGCAGGAAAGGTCATTCAGGAAGGCAGAGGGAGGAGGGAGAGGGAGGAGGGAGGATCTGGCCTGGGATCCTCAGGGGACTCCATTGGTTGTGAGAGGCAGGAGCAATGACTGGCCTCTCTGAGGAGACTTCTGAACAAAGAGCTGAAGGATAAACAAGAGTTGGTTGTGCAGAGACCTGGGGACACAGCACAGATACCCAGTCCTGGGCCTGTTGAGCCCCCAGGGGCAGTGCAGCCCAGCACGGAGCAGGAGCAGGAGCAGGAGCAGGAGCTGGAGCAGGAGCGGGAGGGCCTGGAGATGACCCCTGGCGGCAGGACTGAATGCTGCCACAAACACACTGGATGCTGCGCTCCCACACTCACCTTGGGGTTTCACCAGAGGCAGCAGCTCTGTGCAGACGTCTCGGGTACCAAAAAAGTTCGTTTTCATCGTCACTTCTGCTTGAATATGAAATGGTGTGGGATCATTCACTTTCAGGAGAGAAGGAGGGTATAGTTAATAAATAGTAGCCATGTGGTAACATTACATAGAATCACATAAAAGGTGAATTTTGTGTAAAATTGGCGCCCATGCAACGACCATTTCCTTGTTCCCTGATGCTCTATAGTGTGTGAGATGGTGCCATGTTTGTGCAATGTTCTTGTTTATTTAAAAATCCATTCAAACTCACTCAACTGCCCTAAAAGCTAATCCGGAAGAAACTGAAAACTTGAAAAGACTCCCAGGCATCTGAGCCAAGAACACAAAGGTCCTTGGGCCGGAAAGCGCTCCAGTTTCTCTTGCACTTTGATCTGGTGGCACCTCTGCTCCCCCCCCCCCCCCCCCCCGCCTCTCCTAGCTCCCTGGGGTGCCATTCTGCACCCCATACACGCGAGGAGCCATATACCCCGACACACCAGCCACCCTGGCTGGAGGTGCTGGGCCGACCCCTCACCCGCTCCCGCTCCCCTGCGACCACCCAGCCTTTTACCCTTGAAGGCGATGCCCGCGTTGTTGACCAGCACGTTGAGGCCCCCGTACTCCTGGCGCAGGAAGTCGCGCAGGGCGCGGATGCTCTGCAGGTCGTCGATGTCCAGCGGGTGGAAGCGCGGGCTCAGCCCCTCGGCCTGCAGCTGCTGCACGGCCGCCCGGCCCCGCGCCTCGTCCCGCGCCGTGAGCACCACGTCCCCCGAGAACCGGCGGCACAGGTCCCGCGCGATGGCGAAGCCGATGCCCTTGTTGGCCCCGGTCACCACCGCCACGCGGCTGCTGGACGACATGGCCGGGCGGGTGGTTCGTGAAGAACTTGCGTGGAGAGCAGAGCGGGGGCTGTGGATGCCCAACCGCGGCGACCAGGGCTCCCGCGAGGCTCGGAGCGTCTGCGTGCGCGACTGGAGGGCGCACGGTGCGCACCGGCTGGAACCGCTGTCCTTCGCCCAGCGCGCAGGCGCAAGCCCCGCCCACAGGGGCGTGGCCCCACCCGGCCCTGGCTCTCTGATTTGCTCGGCTAGCCCCTCCCCGCCCCTTTGCTCGAATAGCCCCGCCCCAGGGGCGTGGTCCAGGTCCTGGTCCCGCCCCTCCCTGCCCGAGGCAGGTTTCCAGGTGGGCGGGCCTGTGGCTGCGGGCCACGCCTGCCTGTCAGCAGAGAACCATTCTGATTGGTGGTCTGACCTCCGTTACCCGGAACCTGGGTTCTCCGTGGGCTTTCCGCTGGTGTTTTAACGCCTGCAGCCCAAAGCAAGTCCCTGGAGCGGCACCTGTGGGATGAGCGGAGAGGAGGGGACGAGGACTCAGTGTACGTATGTGATTTGTGCCGTAAGAGAGTGAAAGTGCAGCTCCCGGCTTCCCCCGGCTGGTCTTCCCTCTCTCTACCTCTCTGTAAAAAATCAATAAAAATATATTAAAAAAAATAGAATGTGTGTGAGCCCCTCGGTCACACTGTCCCTTCCTGGGCCTAACTTTTAGGTCTCTCTGACTTCTGAGAGGGTGCAGCTTACCAGTCATCTGCAGGATGGATCTGTGGAAAGACCCATTGACCCACCTGCTAAATGTTCAGTCATTACTCTTACCCACCCGCTTTTTCTCCCCGTGTCACAGGAGAAATCACAGACTCAGAATTACAATAGTAGCCAACTCAAACCGATACTTTACAAAGGGGCTGATATATGATGAGAAGGGGCCACATGCTAACCTGACTAGCTCAGGGGAGACCTCTGTGGCAGCCTTGCAAACGCAGAAATCGAAAGTAACCACAAGGTGGTCCGAAATTAAAACTTTTAATTAACACATTTTTTTAAATATATTTTTTATTGATTTTTTACAGAGAGGAAGGGAGAGAGATAGAGAGCCAGAAACGTCGATGAGAGAGAAACATCGACCAGCCGCTTCCTGCACATCCCCCACTGGGGATGTGCCCGCAGCCAACGTACATGCCCTTGACCGGAATTGAACCCAGGACCTTTCAGTCCGCAGACCAACGCTCTACCACTGAGCCAAACTGGCTTTGGCATAATTAACACATTTTAAAAAATATATATTTTATTGATTTTGTTCAGAGAGGAAGGGAGAGAGATACAGAGTTAGAAAGATCAATGAGAGAGAGTCATCGATCAGCTGCCTCTTGCACACACCCTACTGGGGATATGCCCGCAACCAAGGTACATGCCCTTGACCGGAATCGAACCCGGGACCCTTCAGGACCCAAGCCAACGCTCTATCCATTGAGCCAAACCGGTTTTGGCAATTAACACATTTTTAATTGATTTCAGAGAGGAAGGGAGAAGGAGAGCCAGAAATATCAATGATGAGAGGGAATCATTGATCAGCTGCCTCCTGCATGCCCCCTACTGGGGATGTGCAGTGACCTTCTGGTTCATAGGTGGAGGTGAAACGCTGAACCACACTGGTTGGGCTGAAATAAAAACTTTTTAAATTAAAACGCAGTTTATGGTGGGTAATCATTAGGCCGACATCTTCCCTGACAAAGGTTGATCTTTACCATAACAGAGCCTGTCGTCTTTTTGCATCTACAATAACATATCATTGGAATGTCAAAGTCATTTTCCTTTGTTATTTTTTTATATTTTTTTAAATTAAGGTTTTATATGTGTGCATATCTTATCATTGCCCCCCCTCCCAAGCATACCCTCCCTTCCCAGAATTTTGCATCCATTGGTTATGCTTATATGTATGCATACAAGTCCTTTAATCTCTTATCTCCCACATATCTCCCTACCCTCCCCGCTGTAATTTGACAGTCTGTTTATTGCTTTACTGTCTCTATATCTTTTTGTTCATCAGTTTATAATGTTCTTTATTATCTATAAATGAGTGAGATCATGTGGTGTTTTTCTTTCATTGAATGGCTTATTTCACTCAGCATGATGTTCTCCAATTCCATCCAGGTTGCTGCAAATGATAAGAATTCCTTCCTTTTATGGCAGCATAGTATTCCATTGTGTAGATGTACCATAGTTTTTGGATCCAATCATCTGCTGATGGGCACCTAGGCTGTTTCCAAATCCTAGCTATTGTAAATTGTGCTGCTCTGAACATAGGCGTGCATCCTTTTTGATTGGTGTTTCCAGTTTCTTAGGATATATTCCTAGGAGTGGGATTACTTGGTAAAATGCGAGTTCCATTTTCAGTTTTTTGAGGAAACTCCATACTGTTCTCCAAGGTGGCTGCACCAGTCTGCATTCCCACCAGCAGTGCACGAGGGTTCCTTTTTCTCCGCATCCGCGCCAGCACTTGTCCTTTGTTGATGATAGCCATTCTGACAGGTGTGAGATTTTTTTTTTTTTTTGGACCGCTCATAGGTCAGGCAAGCTTTGTGGAGAGCACAAATCCCCTCATTATATTGCGTTCCTAATTGACAGTTCACTATCCTGTAGCCACCTCGGTAAAGGCAGGATACCTTTTATCCATTTTACTTTTTATCCAAACTCCTCCCTTCCCCTCACCTCCCTTTGCTTTCCCCTGCCTCCCCAATCTGTCACCATGGATTTCACATGACCCACTCGTTAGGATGAAGGCCTTGCTTTTTCTCTGCTGTAGCCTTCCAGAATGTATGAGAAGCACCTGGTAATCAAATCCCAAGACTGCTAGCTCCTTTGGTCAAACAGCCCTTCTGTTCAGACTTACAGACAAGATCAGTGACTCTGAAGGCTGCCTATGTCCTCCCTGCAGGCTTACCACTCAGAATGAGACACCCCCTAGGACTTCTGCCCGGACTGTCTCCTGGAGAAATAACAGACAACCCTGCCGTCTGTGCCATGGCACCCAACAACAGCAGCTGCCCCCAATGCCCCTCCCTGCCCTGTCCACGCTGTAAGAGGAAGAGAAGTCTTGTTCTTTGTCCTTGGTTAGCCATGAACTGGGGCTTTCCCTCTGGGAAATGAAATAACTCTCTCTCTCTCTCACTCTCCTCACAGAATTCTTTCACAGCCCAAGTCACCTACTCACAGGCCCGAGAACTCTACCAGCACTTTCGTCTCCTCTTTGGATTGTAAGGTACCAAACGAGGCGCAGAACCGCCGCTCTCCGGAGCGTGACCTCAATCTGTGGAGATTCTGCTTCCCAGCAGGTGTGGATACTGTGTCAGGGCCAGCCTGACGGTGGGACGGGGCTGAGGTAGGGAGGTGGGAATTGAGAAAAGAAAGACGGGAGAGCGGGATCAGGAGGGTCTGCAAGCCATTGGCCGACTGTAGCAGCTTTATTTATTTATTTTAAAAAATATATTTTATTGATTTTTCACAGAGAGGAAGGGAGAGGGATAGAAAGTTATGGAAACATCAATCAGCTGCCTCCTGTACACCCCCTACTGGGGATGTGCCCGCAACCAAGGTATATGCCCTTGATCGGAATCGAACCTGGGACCTTTCAGTCTGCAGGCCGACGCTCTATCCACCGAGCCAAACCGGTTTCAGCTGCAACACCTTTATTGACTGCATAAAGCCTTTTATACACAAATACTGAATGGGAGGTCAACAAAGAGGAATCTACTCTCTGTTGCTCTTAATCTCTAAGAAAAATAATGTAGGAAGCTAATTATTGATGAATATTTACAGACTTCTGATGAGCTATGAAAGGTCTCTTATTCTGCTGACCATAGGAAAGTGGCATCAAAACAAGCCAGGGGACATTCTGTGTAGGTAGGGGTCCGAGCATGTCAGCTTAAAAAAACGCATAAAAATGCTCAGGTTTGAATGTTTCTTGCATTAACAATATATATTAGTGTAGAAATTATTTGACAGCGTATGTGTCCTTTTGGTCTATCCAGAACAGATAACACAATGGGGCTCACAGAGGGGAGCTCACCATTTTACAACCTTTTTCTCCAAAACAAACTGTCCGTGAGGCCCCTCAGCATCTGAGGGCAAAAGGGCCAGGAACACGGGGGTCTCCGCGCCCTCCTCCGGGCTTTTTGGGGCTTCCAGTCCAGTCATGTCGGTTCTCACCCACCCCGGGCAGCAGGCGTTCAGGAGGATCCTGTCCCCTCCCCTGTGTGCACTCAGGTTCCTGGCCTGGACCCGGGACAGGACCGTGACGCCGATTTTGGTGACGCCGTAGGTGCTGCTGGGCCAGCCCTCCTTCTGGTGCACCCCGTTCCGAGTGTCTTCCACGAACTTGTTCATGAGCCCCACCAGCTCCTTCTCACTGATGGTGTCGCTTCTGAACTTCTGCTGCAGCTCAGGGCTGCAGTTCTTCAGAGCTCGGAGACCCTCCATGCTTGACACGTTCACCACTCTGCCTGCAATGCGACGGAAGGAAGACGTTATGGAGAAAGGCAAGCCCGAGAATTGTTGGGATCTGCCCTGACCGGTTTGGCTCAGTGGATAGAGCGTCAGCCTGCGGACTGAAGGGTCCCAGGTTCGATTCTGATCAAGGGCATATACGTTAGCTGCAGGCACATCCTCAGTGGGGAGTGTAGGAGGCAACTGAATTGATGCTTCTCTCTCATTGATGTTTCTAGCTCTCTATCCTTCCCCCTTCCTCTCTGTAAAAAATCAATAAATTACATTAAAGAAAAAATGCTGGGATTCTAGACCAGGGAGTTTTCATGAGCATTAGTGAAGACTGCCTCTCTGAGGAAGGCCAGAGATGGTCTAGAAACCAGTCATACCCAGTGTATCTCAGATGGTGTCAGAGAGAGAAATGTTTTTTTATTTTTAAAATTATATTCTTATTAATTTCATAGAGGAAAGGAGAGGGAGAGATAGAAACATCAATGATGAGGAGGATCATTGACTGGCTGCCTCCTGCATGCCCCACACTGGGGATGGAGCCCACAACTTGGGCATTGGCCCTGACTGGGAATCAAATCGTGACTTTCTGGTTCATAGGTCAACACTCAACCCCTGAGCCAAGCTGGCTGGGCTCAATTTATCTCTTAATACCAAGTAGTTCTGCAAGAACAGTTGAATGCTAGCTAAAGTAAAGCAGTTGTTCAAAGGACAAAATCTCGGTGTGTCCTGGCTTTACAGGATGTACTATGTGTTCCTTCCCACCTCTCCTTAGCTCGCACCAGCTCCTCCCAATGGCAGGCTTCCTCCCGGTACTGTGCCTGCACCTGTCACATACATTCCATACATAGTGTATATGCTCAGGGGTCCTTTGGCTGGAACGGAGCCGGGAGGCGGGGGCGAGGCAGTGAAAATAAGGGTTCTGCTTGGCCAGAGCCTGGTTTGGCTTTTGCTCAGGACTGCTGGGGTAATCTTGAAACTGTTGGACTGTTCATCCTGATAAGACTGTCCTTGTTTACTTGGGGGTTTAGGTTCGGCTCCACAGTGGATGTTTGCAATGTGGCTGTGGTGAGCTGCCTGGTATTAGGCTACAACCTCTGGGGAGGGCGCTGGACAGGAAGGTCAGCGGAGAGAGCAGGGGCCATGTCTGCGAGGCCAGCCCTCAGCAGACACACCTGAACCAGGCGGGGAGCGTCCCTGGACGGCAGTGCCCGTGTTCCTGTCACACACGGCTGCTGTCTGCAGGGCTCCAGGCGACAACAGGGAGCTCCCTGCCCCGGCTTCCCTGGCCCGAGGGCTCCCCACGGGGACTGGCATCCCGCTCCCTCTCCTCTCAGACTGCGCACTGAGCTCTGAGGGCAGTGGCTCCCCTGAGCTCTGAGTCCTTGCAGGGATTGGTGAACCTGAGGGTGGTCTTGGGGAATCTGAGCTTGTTAAAGCCAAGCGATGTTCCCTCAGATGTGTGCTGGTGGTGTAGCATCTCGGAACCAGTGAGTGCACCTCACTGTATCGGTGGAGTACAGGAAAGGCCGTGAGGTCAGATGCAGAAGAGTTCAGGGGCCTAATGAAGTGGGGGCAGGAAAGGTCACTCAGGAAGGCAGAGCGAGGAGGGAGAGGGAGGAGGGAGGATCTGGCCTGGGATCCTCAGGGGACTCCATTGGTTGTGAGAGGCAGGAGCAATGACTGGCCTCTCTGAGGAGACTTCTGAACAAAGAGCTGAAGGATAAACAAGAGCTGGTTGTGCAGAGACCCGGGGACACAGCACAGATACCCAGTCCTGGGCCTGTTGAGCCCCAGGGGCAGTGCAGCCCAGCACGGAGCAGGAGCAGGAGCAGGAGCAGGAGCAGGAGCTGGAGCAGGAGCTGGAGCGGGAGCGGGAGCGGGAGCAGGAGCGGGAGGGCCTGGAGATGACCCCTGGGGCAGGACTGGATGCTGCCACAAACACACTGGATGCTGCGCTCCCACACTCACCTTGGGGTTTCACGAGAGGCAGCAGCTCTGTGCAGACGTCTCGGGTACCAAAAAAGTTCGTTTTCATCGTCACTTCTGCCTTAATATGAAATGGTGTGGGATCTTTCCCTTTCAGGAAAGAAGGGTATAGTTAATAAATAGTAGCCATGTGGTAACACTCCATAGAATGGCATATAAAGGTGAATTTTGTGTAAATTGGTTCCTAAGTAATTGCACTGTGCAAGGACCATTTCCTGGTTCCCTGATGCTCTCTAGTGTGTGAGTCGGGGCCATCCCCGGAGGCGGGCGCAGGGTGCACAATGGGGTCTCTGACCCTGCTGGCGACCACCCAGCCTTTTACCCTTGAAGGCGATGCCCGCGTTGTTGACCAGCACGTTGAGGCCCCCGTACTCCTGGCGCAGGAAGTCGCGCAGGGCGCGGATGCTCTGCGGGTCGTCGATGTCCAGCGGGTGGAAGCGCGGGCTCAGCCCCTCGGCCTGCAGCTGCTGCACGGCCGCCCGGCCCCGCGCCTCGTCCCGCGCCGTGAGCACCACGTCCCCCGAGAACCGGCGGCACAGGTCCCGCGCGATGGCGAAGCCGATGCCCTTGTTGGCCCCGGTCACCACCGCCACGCGGCTGCAGGAGGACATGGCCGGGCGTGGGGGTCCGTGAAGCACTTGCGTGGAGAGCAGAGCGGGGGCTGTGGATGCCCAACCGCGGCGAGCGGGGCTCCCGCGAGGCGCGGCGCGCCCGCGAGGGCGACTGGAGGGCGCACGGTGCGCACCGGCTGGAACCGCTGTCCTTCGCCCAGCGCGCAGGCGCAAGCCCCGTCCACAGGGGCGTGGCTAGACCATTTGCTCGTGTAGCCCCGCCCTACAGGCGTGGTCCAGGCCCTGCCCCGCCCCTTCCGGCCCGAAGGAGCCTAGAATGGGAAGCAGGGCCGCCTCGCAGGTTTCCAGGTGGGCGGGCCTGTGGCTGCTGGCCACGCCTGCCTGTCAGCAGAGAGACATTCTGATTGGTCGTCTGACCACCGTTACACGGAACCCTTGGCCTCGGTTCTCCGTGGGCTTTCCGCTGGAGTTTTACAGCCTGCAGCCCAAAGCAAGTGTCCGGAGCGGAGAGGAGGGGACGAGGACTCAGTGTGTGTTATTTGTCCCCTAAGTGAATGAAAGCACAGCTCCCGGCTTCCCCCAGCTGGTTCTTACAGGACAGCTGGGGGAACTAGTCATGTGACTCATCCCAGGGTTACCACCCGCCTAGATCAGCGACTTTCAGCCAGCGTGTCCCGGTGCAAGACGTTTTAAAACATGCAATGCCTGTTTATTCAGGGGCACTGACCTCTTTGCCTTTAGCTTGTCAAGTTAAAAAAGACAACAGCCTACATACAAGCATGTCAAACTCAAGGGCTAACACGGGCCAAATAAACAAGGTTTAAGTTTATGAGGGCCGCAAGCTTGACATGCTTGGCCTACACAAGAGCTGACCCGTGTTGGTGAGTCAAAATTATGCTATTTTTTTTGTCAGATCGGCAAAAAATACATATATTTATGGTGTGTGAAGCATCCATCTTATATGAAAACTGCTGTGTGAAATTTTAGTTTTTACTAAAGTTCAGTTATTACTGCTGCTCCAGTGGTAGTTTCTTGTGACAAGTGAGCCATATTGTAAGATGGTTAATAGTTGGGGAAAGTTGATAAGGGATATACGAGCATTCTCTGAACTACTGAAGCATAGTCATCTCTATCTCGTGTAAAAACCGCTGTCTGCAATTTTAACCCTGCTGTTACAGAAAACCGAAGAAGAACAAAGCAATACTTAGAGAGTTGGAGTTACATTTATTACGCGCTGGTCCAGAGGAACATGTATCTCAAATTCTGGGCCCCAACATGCAGGAATTCTCCCTATTTATATGACCCTACCCTCTTTGTCTCCCGAATATGGAGTGTTTCTGGCCCCTTTTGCAAGTTCTTAAAGAGCCAGTGTGTACTGGGGCCTTGAGACCTCAAACAGAGGCCTGGCCTGGGGCCAGCACTGATGACCTTGTCTGGGGAAATTCAGTAGCTGAGCTGAAGTGGGAGCAGTCTCAGCCGGCAAGAATTTTCAGGAGCCAATTAGCAGGGGGCGGGGCGCGCGGGGCGGGGCGCGCGGGGCGGGGCGCGCGGGGCGGGGCGCGCGGGGCGGGGCGCGCGGGGCGGGGCGCGCGGGGCGGGGCGCGCGGGGCGGGGCGCGCGGGGCGGGGCGCGCGGGGCGGGGCGCGCGGGGCGGGGCGCGCGGGGCGGGGCGCGCGGGGCGGGGCGCGCGGGGCGGGGCGCGCGGGGCGGGGCGCGCGGGGCGGGGCGCGCGGGGCGGGGCGCGCGGGGCGGGGCGCGCGGCGGGAAGCTGTGGCCGCCTGGGCTCGCCGTTCCGTGTCGGAGGCGGAGGCGGAGCGGGAGGCGCGTTGGGCGCTGGCGGAGGGTCGGGCCGGCCCCGCGTTCGGAGTTCCTCCCTCCGCCGGCGGCACCTCAGAGCGCAGGCTCGGCGCCCGCGGGCCCTGGGTTTTCCCGTTCGCGCCTCAGTCCGGGGCCGGGACGGACCGGGTCCGGGCCGGGGACCCGCCGCGCACGCCCCGCGGAGCCCGGGCCGGGCCGTGGCTCTGGTTGGTGAGGCGCGGGGAGCCCGGCCGCCGCCTCGGAGAGCCCGCCGCCAGGTGAGCCCCTCGCTTGGCCGGGCCCCGGCTGCGCGGCCACGGGAGCGGCGCGCGCCGGAGCGGGGCTCTCAGTTGAGTTTTTTGGTGAAAAAGAGCTGAGTTCCTTCGCCCGCCCCGCCGCCCGGAGGCGTCCCCGGGAGTGCGGGCCCGCGGGGCGCAGGCTGCGGGCGGGCTGAGGCGGGCGGCGTGCTGGGGTCCCGGTGCGGAGCTCGCACCCGTCTCCCCGCCCCCGGGCGCCCGGCCCCCGGGGTCCGCGCCGCCGGCGGGGCCCGGTGCGGGCGGAGCGCGGGGCTCCACGTGCAGAGCTCGCCCGCCCGCCCGCAGGGCACCGCGTAGCCGGCGCGCCCCCTTTCGGTAGGTGGAGCGGGGACCCTCGCAGGGCCGAGGCGGGGGTAATGGCCGGGCCCCTGTTTCTCTGCCCGGTGCGGGCTGGGCGGTAGGGCTGTGTGTCTGCACACAAAGCCCGGTTCTGCAGGGTGCCGCCGCCGGAGCATCCCGCACCTGTGAGTCTCCGTAGCGCCCCCGCCCCTGGCACAGCCTTGCCATCTTTCCTTACGTCTTCTGGCTTTGTACACATACATGATGGGTTCCAGATCGTTGATGTTTCTGCCTCCCTCTCCCTCTCTCTTCCTCTCTGAAATCGATAAAAATATATTTTTTTTTTAAAAAGGGGGATCACTCCGAAACTTTGTTTTCCCCTTGGACGTTTCTACACCTGAGCATATATTTCCCCCCTGTTGATGGCTACATAATATTCCAGTATCTGAATCTTGCTGTTTTCTTTTTAAATTCTCACCGGAAGATTATTTTATTTTAAATATTAAAAATTTTGATTTCAGAGATGGAGAGAAATTGAGAGAAAAACATTGATGAGAGAGAACATAGATCAGCTGCTTCCTGCACATTCCCTACTGGGGATCAGCCTGCAATCATGTGCCCTGTGTGGGAATCAAACCGGGGCCTCCTGGGTGCATTGGTCCATACTCAGCCACTGAGCCACACCATCTGGGCTCGTTTTTTTTTTTTTTTTTTTTTTTTTTTTTAAATTTTAGAGAGGAAGGGAGAAACATTGATGTGAAAGAGGAACATCTACCAGTTGCCTCTTATATATTTATATACCGTAGGCATACACACACACACACACACACACTTTTTTTTTTTTTAAAGAACTATTTTAGAGGGACCAGTAAAATGTGCATTCCATTTCTGCACAAGGGATCATGATTTAGCTCTCTATGTAAACGTTCTGTATATAAAAACATTTTAGAGAAGTGGTTTACCAGATAATATATGCTTGTCGATTTAAATCTTTATAGGTACCAAGAACAGTGATTATCTTACATTGGGAGAAGGGGAAAGAAGTGCTTTTTATTTTCGATCGGGCACCGAAACAGAAACTGCAGTTGTGGTATGAAGAAGGGAAGAGGAAGAACAAGCCGGATCAGAAGACGAAAACTCGGCAGTTCTCAGTCCAGAGGAGGTACAGTTTTTTGGTGCCAGTGATATCAAAAAGGATCTTTTGTTGCTTGATAGTAACAGATGCATACAGCTTTTCTCAAAGACACATGGGCAGTGTTCACAGAGAATATTTCTTAAATAATTATCTTTGTAATTGTGCCATTGTATTCTTTTTAACCCTTGTGAGAATATAAACATATTTCTCTTTCCTGGGCAATGTTCACAGAGAATATCCTATCTAATAAAGGGGGAATATGCTAATTGACCATCACGCCCTCACAACGATGGTGGTGCCCACAGCCAATAAGGAGGGAATATGCTAATTGCTACAACACCCTCAAAGATGGCAGTGCTCACAGCCACAAGATGGTGGCGCCCAGTCCCCTCAGCCCCACCAGCCACCCAGGGCTGGCCCAAGTTTCACTCAAGCCTTGGATGTCGGCTACCCAGCTGCCTAGGGTTGCCCGAGGCTCAGGTAACCAGAGCTGGCTGAGACTTGCGCTGCTGGCAGTGGCAGCAGCAGAGGTGTAATGGGGCGTTGCCTTCCCCTGATCATCAGGTTACCTCCTGTCCCTGAGGGCTCCTGGACTGTGAGAGGGGGAAGGCTGGGCTGAGGGACCTTCCCCCCACTCCAGTGCATGAATTTTCATGCACCAGGCCTATAGTTTCTTAAATATTTCTCTTTGTAATTGTGCCATTGTATTCTTTTTAACTCTTGTGGGAATATAAACATATTTATCCTTCTTTCAACAGTGTCTTTTCTGGGGACTCCCAGGTTTCTGTTTCTAGTCCTGCCCTCTCTCCTGTCCTCTAATTACCTGCAAGGTATCAATGTTTGGATATAAACTCATCATTCTGAGTTCCCTGTAACCCAGTTTGAAGACCTGTGTGAAAGTGCCTGGCCAGCGGGAGGTACTACACTGATAACGGTCCATTTTACCAGTCGTCTTTGAGACGATCATATGTTTTTTTCTTTTTAGTTTACATTATTTGTACATTTAAAAATTCATTTCTTTTCATGATAACACAGACATTTCATCAGAGATTTTCTTTTTAAAGGGTAATCTGATTTTATAGTGATTTTAATCACCATTTTTTCTTCCATTGATTAGTGAATGAGAGCTACAAGCCTGAATTTATAGCTCTTAAGAAGTGGTTGAAAGCTAGGAAGTTTGAAGATACGAATTTAATACCTGCTTGTTTTCCAGGTGAGTCTGGCTGTCAGTCCTCATGACCTTTGTCACAGGAGCCGTGGGCACAGGTGACAGGAACGCAGGGGTGAGCCTTGCAGGCGGCTGTATTATCTCAGGGAGCATATTATGTCAGGCTTCCTGCTTGGTAGCTGTAATTCTCTTTTAAAAAATATATTTTTATTGATTTTAGAGAGGAAGGTAGAAGGAGAGATAGAAACATCAGTGATGAGAAAAAAATCATTGATCGGCTGCCTCCTTCACACTCCATACTGGAGGTTGAGCCCACAACCCAGGCGTGTGCCCTGACCCGGAATCAAACCCTGATCTGGTTTATAGTCGATGTCCAACCACTGATCCATGCTGGCCAGGTTGTAGCTATAATATTTGAGAAGGTGGATTAACATGCTTTACCTTGTTCTAAAAGTAAATTGAAGTGGCTTATGGGAAGACATTCCAAAATGGTGAAATAAAATTTAAAATTACAAAAGGGGGATGAGAATAGAAAAATAAGGCAAAGGCAGGAATAAGGATAATTCATAGAAGTTGTGATCATAGGACCTTGCGGCCTCTCAGAGGCGAGCCACCAATTTGATGCTCCTTTCCAGCAGTGTAGACAGGGATACGCCGGTGACCGAGACTTAGTGCTGTTGTCCATCAGCAGAAGTGCAGACATTCCGGAACTTAGTCTGTAACACACTTTACTTTAACAAGGTCCCGTGGCCACTTCCTGCTGTGCCTTAGTAAGTGTAGGTGGCCGAGCTCTGTTTTCTGAACTTCGTTCAGTCTCTCCCTGCACCCTCCACACCCCCTTTCCCCTAAGAATTGTCAGTCCACTCCCTTTCTATGCCCCTGATTCTATTATATTTACCAGTTTATTCTGTTTAGATTAATAAAAATATATTTTATTGATTTTTTACAGAGGAAGGGAGAGAGATAGAGAGCTAGAAACATCGATGAGAGAGAAACACCCCCCCACCCCACCACCCCACCGAGGATGTGCCCGCAACCAATGTATATGCCCTTGACTGGAATCGAACCTGGGACCTTTCAGTCCGCAGACCGACGCTCTACCACTGAGCCAAACCGGCTTCGGCATATTCTGTTTAGATTTTTTTATTCACTTGATTTTTAGATTCACTTGTTGATAGATATGCATTTGTTGTCACTTTGTTCATAACTTTTATCTTTACCTTTTTCTTCTTCTTCCTCTTCTTAAAGAATACCCTTCAGCATTTCATATAATACTGGTTTAGCGGTGATGAACTCCTTTAGCTTTTTCTTATCTGTGAACCTCTTTATCTGACCTTCAATTCTGAATGATAACTTTTCTGGGTAGAGTAATCTTGGTTGTAGGTTCTTGCTATTCATCACTTTGAGTATTTTTTGCCACTCTCTTCTGGCCTGCATAGTTTCTGTTGAGAAATCAGCTGACAGTCGTATGGGTGCTCCCTTGTAGGTAACTTACTTTTTCTGTTGCTGCTTTCAAGATTCTCTGCTGCTAGACAGTCCAGTTTCTCCCCGTTTGAGTCTGGGTCTCCAGAGTTTTACTGGAACCGGAGTTCAGAGCAGTTGGGAGTTTGTATCTCCTTCCTGGTTGAAAAAGACCGCAGTGCACTCAGTCGTCAGCCTGTTTCCGTGCACACACCTCTGGACCTTTGCTCTTCTGTTCCTCTGCTCCTCCTACCAGTCTAGATGCACTCTTCCCTTTCCTTCTAGCTGTAGAACTTTCTCTCAGCCAGCCTTCCTGTGGTTCTGGATGATGTCTGTTTTTTCTTTTAGTTGTAATTTAAAAAAAATATATATTTTATTGATTTTTACAGAGAGGAAGGGAGAGAGATAGAGAGCTAGAAACGTCAATGAGAGAGAAACATCGACCAGCTGCCTCCTGTACACCCCCCACCGGGGATGTGCCCGCAACCGATGTACATGCCCCTGACCGGAATCGAACCCGGGACCTTTCAGTCCGTAGACCGATGCTCTCCCACTGAGCCAAACCGGCTTTGGCTCTTTTAATTGTAATTTTGATGTGGTTGTGTGAGACAGCAAGTTCAGGTGTTTACCGATATCACCATCTTGGTTCCTCTCCTGCTTTTTTTTTCTAAAGTTTTATATATGTCTCCTTTTTGCCCAATTGACCTCCTCCCCCACAGCCATTCCCACCTTGGGCAAGCCCCCACTGCCCCAGCGTCTGTGTCCATTGGTTATGCTAATATGCATGCATACAAGTCCTTTGGTTACTCTCTAGCCCCCTTCCCCTACCATTTGTCTCTAGATCAATCTATTCTTTTCATCAAATTATGTTGATCATTATATCCCACATTTGAGTGAGATCATGTGAAACTTCTCTTTCTCCGACTGGCTTATTTTGCTTAGCATAATGCTCTCCAGTTCATCCATGTTGTTGCAAATGGTAAGAATTCCTTCTTTTTTATAGCAGCGTAATATTCCATTGTGTAGATGTACCACAGTTTTTTAATCCACTCATCTGCTGATGGGCACTTAGGATGTTTCCAAATCTTAGCTATAGTATATTGTGCTGCTATGAACATAGGGGGTCATATATTCTTTCTGATTGGTGTTTCTGGTTTCTTGAAATATAATCCTAGGAATGGGATTACCGGGTCAAATGGGAGTTCCATTTTTAGTTTTTTGAGGAAACTCCATACTGTTCTCCACAGTGGCTGCAGCAGTCTGCATTCCCACCAGCAGTGCACGAGGGTTCCTTTTTCTCCGCATCTGCGCCAGAACTTGTCGTAGGTTTGTGATAGCCATTCTGACAGGTGTGAGATGGTACCGCATTGTTGTTTTGATTTGCATCTCCTGGATGATAAGTGACTTTGAGCATGTTTTCATATGTCTCTCGTCCTTCTGTATGTCCTCTTTCAAAGAGTGTCTATTTACATCCTTTGACTATTGTTTGATTGGATTGTTTTTCTTCCTTTTGTTAAGTTGTAGGAGTTCTCTGTAAATTTAGGAGATTAAGCCCTTATCGGAAATATCATTGGAAAACATATTCTCCATTGAACACTATGTTGTAGAAAAATATTGGTAAAGTGTCTTCCAGGTTTATCTCATATGCCAAGTTCTGTTCATATGCAGAGGTGGACGGAAGTCGGTTAACAGTTGTGAGTACTCAAAACACACGGTTTATTCTTATATTATAATGCATCGATTATAGTATTATTTATTTGTATTTCAACTGTAAACCTACTTTTGCCCACCTCCTATATGGTTGGAGATAAATTTCCACTTAAATCAGCGTAGGAGTCTAAAGGAAGACTCTGTGGAGGAGGCCATTCTAAGGGCCCCTGAGAGACCCAGGAGCCGCTCTGGAAGGCGCATGGTCTTTAGGTCTCGATTCTGCACTCACTCTGCCCTTCGAGGGTCGCAAACCCAGAGGAGCCAGCACATGTCCGTTTTCCATTAGCCCCCTGGACCCAGAGGGTACGAGACGCCGGCCCTGAGGGTCTCACACATCTTCTGTCCAGAGTGCACTCACCTGCCTGTCTTTGGTTCCCAGATACCGGGCGAGGGCTGATGAGCAAGACGTCCCTGCAGGTGAGAATCTCTCTTGTCCTTGAAGCCCAGTGCAGATGTTGCTGCTTTGCTTTGTGGGCTAACCAAGTGGATTAAAAGTAAGTTCGGCATCCAGGCATCCACTTGCTCGATACGTTTCATACAGCTCTGCCGTTAGAGCTGCGTGTGCAGAGCGGAGACACACCGAGCAGCAGGGCTCGCCCGGAGCAGTTTATTTTGCCGTCACGTGAACATGCCGGCTAGGCGACCTGGCTGCTGTGGCCTCCGTGGCCGTCAGAGGCCCAGGACTTAGTGGCTCTCTGCCCGCGTCCTTGGAGGGAGCGCCACGCTCAGGCCCAGCGAGTAGCGCCTGGAGCCTGAGCAGCAGGACCAAGCAAGGGGGGAGGAAGGACAGCTTCTCCCGCAGGAAAGGGGCTGTGAACCAGCTGCCTCTCAGCTGCCAGCGACACCCCAGCGGCAGGAGGCGACACCTGTGGGCAGTGCCCTCGGGGGGGGGGGGGGTGTTGGGTGGTGAGGAGGGGAGAAGTCTGTTGGGTTGGCAGCCAGCAGTCTGCCACAGCGGATTTTATGAACCAGATCATGTGTTAACCATGCCAAGGGAGGGAGCTGTTCTCATCTGAGAGTCTGCGTAGCAGAGGAGGTGGAACGGAACAGGCAGAGGGAGGTGATCTGATCTCCAAGGTCCATTTATGCCATTTAAAGTACATTTAATACAGTTTTCTGTAAAGCTACTAATCAATTCCTTAATTTTTATTTAAAATAATTTTAATTTTTCAATTTAATTTATATACCCCAACCTTGTACATATGTTTAGTGTAAAGAATGGTAACTTTTAGTGTTTTAATTCTATTATGCTATTTTAATTTTTAAATTACTTTATAATTTTTAATTGTGGCGAAATACATACTACTATAAAATAAAACTTACCATCTTAACCACTTAAGTGGGCAGCTTATTGGCATTAAGCACATGCACATTGTTGGGTAATATTGTTATTTTTTGAACAGAGGTATAATTGACCTCAGATGTAGCAGAGTTTGGAGAGTAGACATATACCTCTCGTGTAGAGCAGTGACTATTGGTCATTTTTAAAAATAGGTTTTTATTTATTTTAGAGAGAGAGGAAGGGAGAAGGAGGAAGATAGAAACATTGATGAGAGAGAAACATGGCATGGATGAGAGAGAAGCATGGATTGGCTGCCTCCTGCACATCCCCTACTGCAGCTGGAGCATGTGTTCCGACCAGGAATCAGACCTTGACCTCCTAGTTCATAGGTCGGTGCTCAGCCATGGAGCCATGCCGGCGGGCTGCACAGCTTTTGTGTTCAGTTTGATGAGTTTTGATGATGAAGAGATTTACTCCAAGGACCATAGAGACCATTTTACCAAGTGGCTTTAAACAAATCCTCACCTGAGGATAAGTTTTAACTGATTTGAGAGAGAGAGAGAGAAAGAGATCCACGTGTGAGAGAAACATTGACAGGCTGTCTCCCTCACCCGCGCTGAAAGCTCGGTGTGGACCTGACCGGGACAGGAGCCGCCACCTTTGGCTGTACAGGCCGGTTCTCTAACCTGGGCACTAGGTGGATTTTTAAAAATCATAATGTCACGGATGTCGGGGCAGGAAGAAGTGGTAGAGATGATCTACAATAGTTTAATCTCAATATACAGAAGAGGCAACTGGAACTGGCACCTAGCTGATTGTCGGCTGACGCCAGTGACAATGCTAGCAGGACCACAACGTCCCGGCGCCTCCCTGTCTCTGGCGTCCGCTACCTGCCTCTTCATTTCCCTCCTCCGTTCCCATCGCCGTGGGAAGAGCTGGACTGCGGCAGGTGGAAGGCGGGCCCCTGTGCTGGGTGCGCTGCCCTGGCTTCCGCTAGTGACATAGGCTGGGAGGGTGGCCAGTCTAGGACAGCCTCTGGCACATGGGCTGCACCAGATGGACGTGTGTGTGTGTGTCTGTGTGTGTGTATCTGTGTCTGTTCTGTCTGTTTCCTGAAGGTGCACAACTTCCGGCCTAAGAAAGCGAAGGGTCAGCTTGCTTTGGGTTGTCAGTGTTTGCACATTCCTTCCCGGTGGAAGGTTGACAGCCACATAACCGACCTTTAACTCCTGTGGGGCCGTCGCCCCTGCGCTGGGGCAGCCTTGCGGGCACCCACTGGCGCAGGGGCTTGGGAGTTAGTCGGTGGTGGTCTCAGTGGCCGGGTTGCCCTGGTTCTCAGCAGATGAGACGGAGGGCTGGAAAAGACGCGCGCTCACAGGCCCTTCCCAGAGCACGGGCGCTCTGAACTCTGCTTTCTTTTCCGGAAGGAGGGCCAGCTGATTATCTCGTTGCCTGAGAGCTGCCTGCTCACCACGGACACGGTGCTTAGGAGCCGCTTAGGGCCGTACATCGCCAGGTAAGTGACCCTCACGTGCTCCCCGGGCACCGCTCCTCCGTAGGCCTGCACCATCGCAGATACGGCACCGAGGCCGAGGCCAGGGGACCCAGCCCCGTGCACAGCTGACACTGCCACGGTGCAGAGGTCTACTCTGGGCTGTGGAGTTTGCTTTTAATTCACCGCAAACTGGGAGGGGGGGTTTGAATCCCGATCTGTCCCAGAAACGGATGATGAGATGGGATAATAAAGGAAATCGTGGCTGAGCGCCTTGCTCATCATAGTAGCTGTTCTCCATCGCAGTAGAGCTTGACAAATCTTCATTTCTCTTTTGTTTTTACCTTCTTTGTACTTGCTTGAACTTGGTTTCAGCTCTGAAGAGCTGTTAACATTAGAGTTAGTTTTAGCCAATACCGGTTTGGCTCAGTGGATAGAGCGTCGGCCTGCGGACTGAAAGGTCCCGGGTTCGATTCCAGTCAAGGGCATGTATCTTGGTTGCGGCACATCCCCAGTAGGGGGTGTGCAGGAGGCAGCTGATCAAACGAAGCTGGGACTCGGTTAGTGAGTCCGTTCTGGTGTGGACGTGACTTGTGCAGACACTTGAAATAAACTGGGCGAGCGCTGACTGGCCCTTCTGTGGGAGCAGAACTAACCACTGTAGCGTCCGTCTTCAATGAAAGTAACTTCTTTCCTTCGCTTTTACTTTGGCCAGGTGGCAGCCGCCCCCGTCTCCGCTGCTGGCGCTGTGCACCTTCCTGGTTGCAGAAAGGCATGCTGGGGACCGGTCTCCCTGGAAGCCCTATCTGGAGGTCTTGCCAAAGGCCTACACCTGCGCCGTGTGTCTGGAGCCCGACGTGGTGGCTCTCCTTCCCAGGCCGCTGGCGGAGGCGGCCAGAGAGCAGAGGATGCGCGTGCGCGAGCTGTTCACTTCCTCCCGAGGCTGCTTCTCCTCCCTGCAGCCCCTGCTCTCCGCTGCCGCCAAGAGCGTCTTCAGCTACCGCGCCTTCCGGTGGGCCTGGTGCACCGTCAACACCAGGGCCGTGTACATGGCGAGGGGCCGCAGGCAGGGCCTGTCGGCGGAGCCCGACACCTGCGCGCTCGCCCCGTTCCTGGACCTGCTGAACCACAGCCCCGCCGTCCAGGTGAGGGGACACATTCTGTGTCCGCAGGAGGGACACGGCCTCAGAGCTGCGACCTAGAACAGTGCGGGGCCCACAGGGAGGGCGTAGCTGGCTCTGGTGACGGCCTGCCGCCCCACCCGCCAGGCGTGCTCCTGTCTCCTCCCAGCCCATCTCCCTCTGGCTGCAGAGCCCCGTGTTATATCCCCATTTCCTCCTCCCCAGGCCTTAACCTGCAGCCTGCCCTCCCTCACCCACTGTGGTACAGTCCTCCTCCTTCCAGAACTGGCCTGGAGTGTGGTTTGCACTCTGTCCCGACCCTTGTATACTTGGGGCCTTGCTTCCGCTTGATCTCTGCTGTGCTCTCTGGTTCATGTCCTCTCCCTCTCTGAGCTCTGCAGTCTTAGAGGCCGGCACTCTGCTTTGTTCCTTTTGTCATCCCAGTGCTCAGCCCAGGGCCTGGCACGTAGTAGGCCTTCCATAAAGCTTTATTAAAAAAGTACACACACACACACACACAAACCTTTACTGAATGGGGAAACGAGTCGGAATCATCAGAGGATCCTGCGTTGGGAGAGTCGGAGCCCTCGCTCTCTGCCCTGCTCCCCTGTGGCACCGGGTGAGCCAGCCCTCGCGGTCCCCGGGGAGGCACTCCGGCCGGGACCCACGCTCACCGTCCTCTTCCCACCGTGCCGCCCGGTTAGCCGCTGCCGTGGGGAGGGCGTGGGAGGCCCCGCCGTGCCGTCCGAGGCCACGCACTCCTTGCCGTCCGCTTGTCACACCGAGTGCGGGAGGCCGAGCCGGGAGGGTGTGTCTGGCTGCCGCCCATGAGAGGAGTCGGGCATATACACAGGATGCTGGACATGGACTCGCCAATTGGCGGACTGGCTTCTTATTGGGCTGTTCGTGCCCTTACGCCCCCAGGACCAGTGATTTCCCAGGACCAGCGATTTTACGGTTGTGTGGGTCCCGCCTCCCGCAGCCTGGGACACATGGCTCCCAGCCCTCTCTGTCCTCTTCCCTCTCTGCCCTCTTCTCCCTCTGCCCTCTTCCCTCTGCCCTCTTTCCTCTGCCCTCTTTCCTCCCTGCCCTCTATGGAAAAAGATGGCCGGCGGGGCGGGTCTAACATGCGTGCAGCTGGCTTTTGGCATGAGACTCCAAACCACAGCCTTACTCTGTTGTTGCTGCTGGCAGGTGGGGATTGCAGCCTGCTCCTCCTCCGCGCCTCGCTGGGGCTTGCTGGGCTTTGCTGCTAAGGAAGGAGGCCTCAGTGCCTGCACCCACGCCTTTCTGTGGGGAGCAGGTAGGTCTTGTCTTTTCCTCTCTACCATCAACTCACCATCAGTCACACCTCCATAGGCAGTGTCAGCCGTGTCAGGCTAAGACAGGTTCTGCGGGGGCCCCAGAGGCCTGGCGCGCAGCTCCCCTGCTCTCGCTGGCCGTCCCGGCTGGTGCGGAGGCTTCCCACGCTGGTTGCTCTGCCAGCCAGACGGCCCCCCACCTGGTCCTCAGCCTAGCCCAGCGGTCGGCAAACTCAGTAAACGGCCAAATATCAACAGGACAATGATTGAAATTTCTTCTGAGAGCCAAATTTTTTAAACTTAAACTTCTAACGCCACTTCTTCAACGTAGACACGCCCGGGCCGTGGTGTTTTGTGGAAGAGCCACACTCCAGGGGCCAAAGAGCCGCATGTGGCTCTCAAGTCGCAGTTTGCCGATTATGGGCCTATCAGGTTCACCTCCCTGCCAGCGCTGGAAGTCATCCAGACAAATAAACGACATCGTCCCAGGGAGCCAGGAGCCTCGTTACTACAGAGCCTGCTTCCTGTGGTCGCCGCTGTGCTGCCCGAGTGCAGCCTGGGGGCCCGGGAGGCTGACCGCCCGCCCCGCTCCCCTCCCTCCCGGGGTTACCCATCGTCAGGTTCGCCGTCCCCAGGACCAGGGCTGGGACCCCCCCACAGGGGGCGAATGGGGCCAGGTAGGGGCTGCCGGGGGACCTTCCTTTCTCCACGTGTGGTTCCGTTCAGCGGTGAGTGTTCCAGCGGGCATTGGCTTACATAAACGTCATAACTCAGTCTTGGTTTTGGGTTTTGCTTTAAAAACGAACCATCTTCCCCCCAGGTGGACGCGGCGTTTAACGAGGAGAGCCGCTGCTACGAGGTCAGGACGGGCTCAGGCTGCCGGCGGCACCAGGAGGTGTTCATCTGCTACGGCGCCCACGACAGCCGGCGGCTGCTGCTGGAGTACGGCTTCGTGCCCCGCGCCAGCCCCCACGCCTGCGTGCCCGTCCCGCCAGGTGGCTGCTCCGGCTCATCCCTGCGCGGGCGTACACTCCCCATCGGGGGCGGGCTCTTCTAAGTTTTAGTAAAAATGGCAGGCCTTTTTTCCTTCCGAATATTTTTATTGGATTCAGAGAAGAAGGGAGAGGGAGAGAGAAGCATCCGCGATGAGAGAGAACCACTGACCGGCTGCCTCCTGCACGCCCCCCAGTGGGCCTCAGGAGGCTTGTGCCCATCGAGCCCACAGCCCACGTGCCTGACAGAGAATTAAGCTGTGATCTCCGGGTTCAACCTCTGCACCACACCGGCCAGGCAGCAGTCCTTCAAATGGGTATCGTTTATTTTCTCCGAGGTAGGGCTGGCCTTACTCGGGCTGTATTAAAATAATTGCAATAACTAAGTAAAAACTCCGAAGCTTTGACCAACATTGAGGGTGAGAAGAACCGGGAAGAGTTCATTGAGCTCGGTCGGGCAGGATGGAGGCACAGGAAGATGCAAGGAGATGCCTGCTTAGAGATGGGAGAAACGGGACTCCCCGTACGGAGACGTGTCGCCGTCACTGAGGGAGGACAGCACGTGGCCGTGCAGACCTGCCGGGTGGAAGGCCTGTGCTCCCCAGAGAGGCGCAGGCCCTGCTCTGGGGCTTTGCCCCCAGGAAGGCCTGGGTGTCGCTCTTTTGTGCCTGTTACGTAGCCATCACCTCGGTGTTGCCCTTCCTGAGACCAGGATTTAGCTGGTTCATTTATGCTGTGGCCCGGCTGGTGTGGCTCCGTGGTTGAGTGTCGACCTGCCTATGAACCAGGAGGTCACAGTTCGTTCCTGGTCAGGGCACTGCCTGCCTGCCCACTGGCCAGAGCCCGGGCTGCGGGCTCCATCCCGGTGGGGCGTGCAGGGGGCAGCCGATCAGCGAGTTCTCTCATCACTGATGTTTCTGTCTCTGTCTCCCCGTCCTCTCTGAAATCAATAAAAACATTTGAAAAACATGCGCTGTGAAAGCTCCCAACAAAGGGGGAGACAGCAGTGGGAGCCGGGCCTTCTCCGGGCGGCGGAGACTCCAGCGTGAGGAGCCATAGGCACCCAGCGGGCGATGAGGCTGTTCTGGTGCAGGTTCTGGCGGAACCAGGAACCCGTCCGGGGGGTGCTCCTCCATCCCACGGGTGTTTGGTCCCCGCCTCGTGGAGTTCCGTGGCTTTTCCAGAGCGGAGGACGGTCTCAGCGTGGGCCTGGAAGAAGAGACCTCTGTTTTGTATGAATGAGGTCACACTTTACACTTGTCTGGGTTGCAATGGGAAGGAAAGTAAGCTGAGAAGGAAAGGTTTATTCTTTTGTCTGAATTACACCCTAAATCTCAGTCTGATTTTTTTTTTATGTAGATATGCTTGTTAAATACCTTCCATCAGCAGATAAGCAGATGAACAAAAAGATTGCCATTTTAAAGGATCATGACCTTATAGAGTAAGTATTGCTCTCACAGTGGTTCCGTGGGGAAATGGTGATAAAATGGAGGGCTAGGGCTCTGTAGGGAGGACACCTGGCTCTCACCAGCGGGCAGGTAGGTGTGACCGAGCGCTTACTCTGCGGGTGTCATGGGGACACGGGAGCGTGAGATTCTTTTCAGGGAAGCTTTCAGGGGCGCAGCGGCCAGCGTGGACAGGGCATCCTGGTGCCAGCGGAGAGCCTGGGTGTGCTGGTTGGTGGCCCAGGTTGCGTTTGTCTCTGAATGTGGTCCAGTGGGTGCCATCGGCTGGTGGGGGCCAGACTGGCCCTCACCTAACACAGTGGCTGGTGACTCCCAGGGCGCTCCGTTCTGTGGCTGAAGGGCAGTGTGAGGGGCCGGCTCAGTCGCAGGCCTGGTGCTGGGTGGTGGTGCTGGTTTAACCCCAGACCACCCGCGGCGCCGGCCTGTCTCCCTGCGCCTGGCCCGGGCTGCCGCGGGGCCTCATCCGGCGCAGCCTCTGGCCCAAGCGCCTGGGAAACAGCTGCTTGCTTTTCTCTTTTTTAACACGAGAGACCTTCCTGTCTTCAGGCTTCACCGTTAGGAACTGAAGACTTTTCTCCTTTTGTCTTTCTGACCAAGACCGCAGGCTCTGTAACGCTTAGTGCCGCTTTAGAGAGACTGCTGTGCCCCGAAGTCCTAGTGACGGTGACCTGTCCTGTCCCCCCGCAGGAACCTGACGTTCGGATGGGACGGGCCGTCCTGGCGGCTGCTCACGGCGCTGCGGCTGCTGTGCCTGGAGCCTGCGGAGTTGTGAGTGCGGGCGGGCGGGCGCTCCCGTGGGCAGGCGCGCTCTCTGCGTGTCCCCGTGTCCGCTTTGTGGGAGCCTCACGGTCAGTGTGTGGTTGGTGGCACTTTGAGTCTCTCCTCAGAGGCCCCCCGGGGACCTCAGCTTGTTCAGAAGTGCAGGCACTGGCACTGCCCAGAGGGTCTGAGGGGGTGGGTTTCCGTTCTGCCCCGGGGCAGAGCCAGGGCGAGGCCTGGGCGTGTTCTGGGGAGGCGCAGGGGAGCCTGGTGTCCATGGTCCCGGCCCGGCTTCCACGGGAGGACCGGGGCTCCATGGCTGTGCTGCTGCCGTTCTCCTGCCGTGGTGCCGGTCGGAGCCGCGAGCAGGAAGGACTTCCTGGAGGGGTGGAGCCCCGAGTGGGGGGAGTCGCGTGAGAGGGCTCAGTGCCCAGATGTGGTGTGCTCGTTCCGCTCGTTCTGCTTTACTAAAAATTTTTTAATTTTTTAATTTTATTTTTTATTCATTGATTTTTTACAGAGAAAAGGGAAAGGGGTAGAGAGTTAGAAACATCGATGAGAGAGAAAAATCCATCAGCTGCCTCCTGCACACCCCCACTGGGGATGTGCCCACAACCAAGGTACATGCCCTTGCCCGGAATTGAACCCGGGACCTTTGAGTCCTCAGACTGACGCTCTATCCACTGAGCCACACTGGTTAGGGCGGGCCTCTCAGGTTTTGGCTCTGCATTTCTAATTGCCTTCAGTACTTGCACTCGGACATTGCCGCAGCCCAGGCACCATGCCTGTCGCCACTTCCCCTGGAGACGCTGTCCGTCAGCATCCATTTCTCCACCCTTCCTCCCATTGGCTGCTCCCAGCGGATGGGGACACTGCCGCCTTTGGCTCGGCTTCCTGCTGTGGCTCCCTCGTTAAAACGTTCTTACTGATTTCAGAGAGAGGAAGGAGGGCAGAGAGACAGAAACATTAACGATGAGAGAGACTCATCCATCTCTGCCTCCTGGACTCCCGCACACCCCACTCTGGGGATCAAGCCCACAACCGGGCCTGTGCCCTGGCTGGGAATTGAACCGTGATCTCCGTGGTTCATGGGTCCACGCTCAACCGCTGAGCCACACCAGCCGAGCTGCTCTTGCTCCTTCTTGCCTACCCTCAAACGCGTACCACCTGCCCGCCCGTGGGCCAGACCCGGGGCCGAGTCCTGTTCCCACTATCCTTCTTGTAAATCGTGTCCGTGTCAGCACAGGAGGAGCACGTGGTGGAGCGTGGGAGCCTGTGGGCGGGTTCTGAGAGGAATCCCCATGGGAGGGCTTTAGAAGCTTCTGGAAACTAGAGGCTGTGTGTGTGTGTTCAGTGTAATGGTCGTCTTCATTTGGTGAGGCCCTGCTGAAATGACCTTACTAAACATTATGTTCTAGTCTGTGCTGGAAAAAAGTCCTTCTTGGGGAGATAGTTTCAGACGTGAATGAGAAGAAGAGTTTGGACATCGCCCAGAAAATATGCTGCTACCTCACAGAGGAGGCTAGCGCTATGCTTCAAAAGGTACGTTTCTTTAATGTATTTTTAAAAATTGGTTTCAGAGAGGAAGGGAGAGGAAGGGAGAGGTAGAAACATCAACGATGAGAGGGAATCATTGGTTGGCTGCCTCCTGCACGTTGGACTGAGCCTGCCACCCAGGCATGTGCTTTTGACCGGAATCGAACCTGGGACCCTTCAGTCTGCAGGCCGACGCGCTCTCTGCTGAGCCAAACTGGCCAGGGCTTACATCTTTTTCTTGAAGAAGTGTTTGATTAACAAGTTACTTGTTTGGGGCATGTTGGGTAGGGATGGCATACCTTCTCTGAGTGTTGTTGAATGCCTTATATACTTGAACATTGATGCTACCTGGTTTTTGACTATTAACATTGTGCCTGCACCTTTTAATAGCTAAAATTACCACATGAATTCTTGATAATAGATTTTAAGTACTCTTTTCCTTTTATTTTTATTTAGTTACTATTTTAATTAAATGAAAAAAGAGCTGCCCCAGCTGGTTTTGCTCAGTGGATAGAGTGTTGGCCTGTGAACTCAAGGGGCCTGGGTTTGATTCCGGTCAAGGGCACGTGCCCAGCTGCTGGCTTGATACCCAGAGGGGGACATGCAGGAGGCAGTCAGTCAGTGATTCTCTCATCACTGATGTTTCTCTCTCCCCCTCTCCCTTCCTCTCTGACATCAATTAAAAAATAAAAATAAATAAATAAAAGAGCAGCTCATTTGAATAAAAACATTACTGGGATTTAAACTATTTTAATGAACTTTGAAGGCAACATTGTGCTCAGTGGAATAAATCAGAGTGCAGGAAACAGACTGCTCCTCTGGGAGGACCTGGGACAGGCAGGGCATGGAGCCGGACGATGGAGGATGCCAGGGCTGGGGGCAGTTTCTGGTGATGATTACATAACATTGTGGACATTCTAAATACCACTGCACTGTACATTTAAAAACGCTCAAGCCAAAACCAGTTTGGCTCAGTGGATAGAGCATTGGCCTTCGGACTTAAGGGTCGCTGGTTCGATTCCGGTCAAGGGCATGTATCTTGGTTGCGGGCACATCCTCGGTGGGGGGTGTGCAGGAGACAGCTGATCAATGATTCTCTTTCACCGATGTTTCTGACTCTCTATCCCCCTCCCTTCCTCTCTATAAAAAAACAATAAAATATATTAAAAAAATATTAAAAAAAAATAAATAAAAGCGCTCAAAATGGTAAATGTTATGTATGTTGATTATTATAAAAAGTTAAAAATCTCTTGCAGGTTTCTCACATGAAGGAGAAGGAAATGGCGGGGACACACCAGCTCACTCTGGTGGAGACGCTGTGGACAGAGGAGCTGAAGATCCTCCGGGCGTCTGCCGAGACAATGAGCAGTGTGCAGAGGCTGTTCGCCTCACCCAGGTGCCCCGCCCGATGCCACCCCCTCTGCGGATGCGACACCTAAAACACTGAGCACTAAGGCACGCTTTACCCAGAACCGCGTACACCGACGGAGGCTCCCATTAAATGGTGTGCTTGACGCCGAAACCGGTGTGGCTCAGTGGATAGAGCGTCGGCCTGCGGACTGAAGGGTCCCAGGTTCGATTCTGGTCAAGGGCATGTACCTTGGTTGTGGGCACATCCCCAGTAGGGGGTGTGCAGGAGGCAGCTGGTTGATGTTCCTCTCTCATCGATGTTTCTAGCTCTCTATCTCTCTCCCTTCCTCTCTGTAAAAAATCAATAAAATATATTAAAAAAAAAAATAAATGGTGTGCTTGATCCTGGGCCTGTACCTTCCCTGGGGGCGGGGACCTTGGAGGATGTGCAGGGCCAGGTGCTAGGATGGCAGGGCTGCAGGTGAGGAAGGGCACGCCATCCTAATGGCACCTCTGATGCCCACTGAACAGCCCCTGGGGGAAGACGCCTCTGCCTGAGGAAGCTGGGCCCACTGAGAGGGAGCCCGAGCGGGCTGCGGTCAGCCTGGCCTCACCAGCACTCCACCTTCACTCCTGCCCGCACTCCACTCCCGCCCCCACCCTTACCCCCACCCCCGCCCCCACCCCGGGTGTGGTCTTTCTTCCCTGAAGGGTGAGCTGCTGCCCTGGCTCAGCAGGAAGGGCCAGCAGGGGAGCTTCTGTGACCTCAGGGTCAGGTAACAGGGAGGGCGGGCAGTCCTGCGTGCCAGCGCCTTCTGCCCAGCTGACTTCCCGCTGAAAGGAGGTTGTTGGGCTGGAGTGGCTGTTCCCTTTGCTCTATCCCGCTCCCAGCAGAGGGGGAGGAGCCGGCACTGGCAGCAGAGGCCCAGGTGACGCTGCCCACCCCTGCCTCAGAGCCAGGCCGGCTGCTCGGAGGGCACCCGGCGCAGACTGGGTTTGGGAAGGGAAAGCTGGTGAATGAAGAGAGTGTGGCCTGCCTCGCTGTGGGCTGGTGTCCGGTGGTCGTCAGCATGCCCCTGACCTGTGGGGCTGTGTGCCTCTGCTCTGCGTGGCTGTCACCTTCCTGGTGCTGTTGGGAGGTCAGGAGGGACGTGCTTGTGCCCAGTGGGCCCTTTGGAATTATGGCTCTTTGCCTTTCCTCTTATTTATTTAAAAAAATACATTTTCATTGATTTCCGAGAGGAAGGGAGAGGAAGAGAAACATCCATGAGAGAACCATTGATCCACTGCCTCCTGCACGCCCCCCACTGGGGATGGAGCCCACAACCCGGGCCTGCGCCCTGACCGGGCATCGACCCCTGACCTCCTGGTTCAGAGGTCGACGCTCAGCCCCTGAGCTGGGCTGGCCGGGAGCTTCTTTAAAATCACAAAAGCCTTTAGGACCGGGCTTCCCTCGGAGTGAGGCTTGGATGTGAAGTTTGCTCTCAACAGGCCTTTTCAGACTCTGGCTCTGGATTACTACTCACAGCGATCTCATGCCTGTAATGACAGCAGGCAGGACGGGGCGGTCAGAGCAGGCGTGTCACTGCACAGAAGCCAGGCTGCTGCTTATGACCTGGACTTCACCGAACCGAAGACAGAGCGAGCCTCCCCCTCCAGGGCCACGGAGCACCTCCCGCCCGCCGCCCGCCCATGCTGTGCTGAGCACGTGAATCCCAAGCTCGAGTGCGTGATACACAGGTGCTGAGTGCTCCATGCTCCTCCCGGCCTCCTGTGAGAACAAGTCACTGCCCTTCCCAATCCCAAGGAGCTGAGGAGAGGAGCCCATCTGCTGGGTGGTGAGCTGGAGGCGCTTCCCTCCTCACACACTGGGTGGCGCTGGAGGCCCGCCGCGCAGAGCAGGCTGGCTGCTCGGAGGCGGGCAGTGTGTGCGGGTGGGAGTGGTGTCTGGCCCCAGCACACAGCTCTGCTCCTGGGATGGGAGAGTGGGCAGCTGCACAGCAGGTCAGGGCGGAGGGGCCGGGCGGGTGTGAGGCTCAGAGGGAGGGTGGGGGCCGGCGATCAGACGCAGGACCTGCCTGCCTCGGACAGGCCATAGGAAATGCCAGCATGTGGCACTTTTCCCCCGGCAGAAGGAATGGCTCATCGCAGGGCAGGCTAGCTCCCTGGTCCGGGCAGGTGGGCGGGTGCTGCCAGGCAGACAGGGTAACAGCACCCACACAGGAAGGGGTCTCCTGTGACGCGCTCCTGCCAGGCGGGTCAGGAGCGGGAAGGAGCCCTCCTCTGATGGGGCTGCCTGTCTGTCCGTAAGGCGTGTGTTAGACCTGAGGACAGAGCCTCAGGCCGAGTGGTGTGTGCCCGGTGTCCTTGTCCTGGGATCCCGCGTCCACGTTGACTGACAGGCGTGAGGTGGCCCGCACATCTCAGTGACGAGGTGGAGGCCTCCTCTGAAAGGATCTCAGGTCTGCTGGGCTGTCCAGGGCCCCGCTGTGTGTCCTGAGGGCAAGCTCGCTCCCCTTGCCGGCCTCGGACCCTCCGCAGCGCCTCGCCGTGGGTGCCCACCCCGGCCTCGCCTCCAGCGGGTGCTGCTTCCTCCCCCTCCAGCGGGTGGCGTTCCAGGCGGAGCGCCTGCAGGTCCCCTTAGCTGGACGAGGAGGGCGGCCACGCATGACCGTGGTCTGACGGAGCTGCCTGACGGTGACGCTGCTTGTCTGGAAGCCATCTTGCTGGGAGGTCAGGGGATCACGAGCTTTCTGATGTGGCTTAACGTGCAGGTGAGGCCGGGGGCCGTGGCTCACGTGGGCCCCGCAGAAACAGTGAGCGGAGCATGCCGCCTCCATGCAGGAGCAGGAGCAGGAGCAGGAGCAGGAACCCCATCTTCTCCCTCCAGCGATCCGTGTGCAGGAGCCCGGCCGCTCCCCCACAGCCCGCTGCCCACGGCGGTCTGCGGCCCGCGGCGCCCACACCCCCGGACCCGCCCGAGCCCGGTCTGTGTGCCCGAGTCAGACGCTGCCGCAGGCCGCTCCCCGGCCTCCCCGGGGCCTGGCGGCGGGGCCAGCCGGTGCCGGCCGGTGCCAGGGGTCTGGAGAGGTGAGGAGAGCCCGGCCAGGGGGCGTGGGCGCAGTCACTGCCGGGCGGGCACAGCCCAGCTGCCACGGGTGGGGCCGGCCTTTGGCTGAAGCATCTTTGTCAGACGCTTCTGCCCAGACGTGTCTGCGGCAGGCATTCGGCCACGGACCCGGGGGCTGGGAGGCGGGTCTGCCGGGAGAGAGAAGCGGCTGGCTGGCAGGTGTGTGGTCTGGTTTGGTTTTATTGACGACGCAGTCAGGTGCCGTAAAGCAGATGAAAGAACTGGTGGCCATTTGCTTTGTGCTTTGCTTCATCTCTCCATGGCGACGCTCTCATCGCTCCGGTTTACCTGTCACTGTCAGCCAGCCCTTCCACAGCAGCATCTCCCCGATGACCAGACTGGCCGAAGGAGGTGGTTCTCCTTCTGAAAGGGGACATGGAGGGTGGGGGGAGAGAAAGGCCGAAACTGGTGTGGCTCAGTGGGTAGAGCATTGGCCTGTGGACTGAAGGGTCTCGGGTTCGATTCCGGTCAAGGGCATGTACCTTGGTTGCAGCCATATCTCCAGTGGGGGGTGTGCAGGAGGCAGCTGATTGATGATTCTCTCTCATCGATGTTTCTAACTCTCTGACCCTCTCTCTTTCTCTCTGTAAAAACTCAATAAATATATTTTAAAAAAAGAAAGAGGACATGGGCAGGAGAAAGCGAGGCCTGGCCTCCGAGGCCAGAGCCACGCCCGCGGCTCCCTCAGAAGGCGCTCAGGCGCCGTCCACAGGACAGTCTGCTGTTGGGCGCTGTTGCCATGACTACAGTGCCAATGCAGTCACATAGTCCGCATCCACAGTAAACGTTTTTCATCTTTTCACGTTTCATTGTGGCATTAAGTGTCCATTATGTGTTGTGACTTTACCTTTTTAATGGCAAAACTGCCTTTCAGCCTTTCAGCCAGCTGGTTAAGTGGAGGGGATGTTTGCAGCGAGGATGCTGTGGCCACGTAGGGGGCCCAGAGCCTGTGGTGGGACGGACTTCCCCGGCCCATTCTGGCTGCCTGGGGTCTGGGACAGGAAGGCCTAGAGGAGGAGGGCACTCGGGGGCTGGGGCGTGGGGAGGACCGGGCAGCGCCCTCTGAGCTGGCTGAGCCGGGCCTGTCCTGAGCTTCTGGCCCCGCAGCCGGTTCTGAGTGCTCCCGGCTGCAGGTGGGTGGGCGGGTGGAGGTTGGGGGTGGGGAGTGGGGGTGGCGGCAGTCTGGTTCGGGCGGGTGAGCTGGCGGCCTTGTCGGCGCCCTGTGTTCGGACTGGCGCAGAGTGCCGGAGTGCCGGTGTTCTTTATCGCGGGTTTCCTCTGAGGGCAATAAAGAGCGGACTGCCTTTGAAGGGACGGGCATGCGTTTTGTCTTCCCGTCCCATCACTGTCAAACCAGTCACCTGAGAACTCGGCACACGGCCGGCTGCCAGCAGACCGAGGAGAATGTCTTTTATCACGCCCCGGTGTCTGCCTCCCACCGAGTCCACTTCCAGCATCAGTCAGGCCCAGTGGGGTTTGTCAGCGGTAATTGGCCAGCCTGAATGGGGGCTCTCAGAGCAGCTGTCCGTGTTGAAAGAAAACGCCGCACTTGATCTTCCTCCACGGCTTCTGCAGACAGGTGCGTGTCTGCACCTCAGCCTCACGGCTGTACGGTGTGTGTGTGTGTGTGTGTGTGTGTGTGTGTGTGTGTGGATTCAGGAAGCAGCACCTCGCAGCTCACCCACCTCCTGTCCCATCGCTCAGACACCGTCATTCATCCCCACGGCGGCTCCGAGCCCGGCTCAGGGCTGCTGGACAGCGAGTCAGCACCTGGGGCTTCGTGTCCGTTCCTGCGAGGCTGTCTGTTCTCCTGGATGGAACCGTGCTCAGGCTGCGGCCATCCTCCCGGCCTGCCGCGCCTCTCACTGCCCTTTCCCGGCGGAACACCGGGACACCGGGACACCGGGGAGCTGCAGCCGGGGCTCCTGATCAGCGACACCGAGAGCGAGGCCGTGCGTGCAGACGGGCTCAGGCCCCCTGGCACGCGTGCAGGACACAGTTTGGAGGCTTTTCAAGGGCACACGACCCACCGGAGTGCACCTTCCCCCGTGTTCCCCCATGTCCCACCATGTCCCACCCCCTCCACGGACACCCTGAGACGTGACCTCGCCGGAGACCCGTCGAAAACCCCGGGG